GAGTCTTGCTGTCTCGCCCAGGCTGGCATGCAGTGGCACGATCTTGGCTTACCACAACCTCTGCCTCCTGGATTCAAGTGATTCTCCTACCTCAGCCTCCCAAGTAGCTAGGATTACAGGTGCTGCCACCATGCCTGGCTATTTTTTTGTATTTTTAGTAGAGATGGGGTTTTGCCATGTTGGTCAGGCTGGTCTCAAACTTCTGACCTCAGGTAGTCCACCCACCTTGGCCTCCTAAAGTGCTGAGAAGTACAGGTGTAAGCCACCACGCCTGGCCTCTCTTTCTTTTTTAATAGAGACAGGGTTTTGTTCTGTCACTGAGGCCGGAGTGTAGTGGTGCAATCATAGCTCTTTGCAGCCTCGAACTCCTGACCTCAGGTGAGCTGCCCACCTCAGACTCCCAAAGTGCTGGGATTATAAGCATGAGCCACTGCGCCTGGTCAGCATACACTTTTGACCACAAAAGTATTTTCAGAATTTGTGTCTTGCGGTTTCTCTGAAGCTTAAAGGAAACAAAACCCAGAGACTCTTCACCATACTAGAAGTTAAAGATAGATTTTTAAGGTTTTATGCTGGAGCCATGCTCCTATATCTGCCTTTAACGATTATTGAAAATTGTTTTCAAGGTTAAGCATTCTGTGAGGGATTTAGAAAAGGGCTCAAGACTACAGAAATGCAGAAGGAGTCTCAGAGTTACAACTCTTAATCACATGCTTGATCTTGCTGGTGATAGTCTGCAGCCCAAAGCTAGCTGTGAAGCCACTATGCGTCACCTCATTAGCTCAACAAAGACACTCCTGGCACTCAGGAAATTGCAAGGATTTTTGAAACTCTGTGCCAGGAATGGTGGGCAAAGACCAATTATATTCTGTATTATAGCATAGTAACCTTGGGACTATGTTACTTCATTTTTCTGACCATCATTTTGGAACTTTTAAAATGAGGATGAAAATACTTAATTGGCAGGATTGCCACAAAAGTTAAGTGATGTTGGTAATGTATCCACCACCATGGTGGTAAACAGCAGGTAGTTATTTAGTAATTATCATGGTCATGAGCACTTTTGGTAATAGTAGTGGGAACAGTCATTAGGTCATAAAATGATAGAGTCTTCCTAGAAGAAAGTCCCTTAGAGTTGAACAGAATTACATCTTTTCATAAGTAGATACAGATCTTTTCTCACATATTTCAAGAAGATGCTTGTCTTAGTCTGTTTTGTGTTGCTATAACAGAATACCTGAAACTGGATAATTTGTGTACAAAGAAAAAAGATCTAGTTCTTCTAGTTTAGGACACTGGGAAGTTCAAGGTTGAGTGGCCTGCATCTGTCAAGGGCCTTTTTTGCTGCATCATCCCAAGGTAAAAGGGTGGAAGGACACAAGAGCATGTATGAGAGAGCAAAAGGAAAGTGGCCTGGACAGGAAGAAACCATGGTCCCATGAATAAGGGTGGACAAATAAAGTTTAGTTAATTTTACCCTATCTTTGGACATTTATCTCAACTGCCTGAGCTAAATAACTGTTTTCTTCAACCTACCAAAAAGCATTTCGTACAGCAAAAGATAGGGAAGCCTGGAGAAGCGAGAAGCAGAGAGAGGTGGATCCTGGCGGGTAGTAGATGAGGGCTCTGTTTCTCTCAAAAGCCTCATTGAAGAAATACATTGGTCTAGTTTTTTCCAGTATATGATCATCCTTTTTCAAGCGAGGAGTATAAATTAGTAAGGATGGGCTTAATATCTGTTGGTGGTGAGATAAGAAAATGCTAAAATTATTATGTTATTGTACTATTTTGATATATGGCTTGTCATGTATGCTGTATATTAATAACATTGTATACAAAAACAGTTAATAAATGATAAGACAGTTTAAAAAAAAAAAAAAAAAGGAAGAAAAGAAAGAAAGTGGCCACACCGGGCATGATGGCTCATGCCTGTAATCCTAGCACTTTGAGAGGTTGAGACAGGAGGATCACTTGAGCTTGAGAGTTTAAGACCAGCCTGGGCAACACATAATGAGACCCTGTCTCTATTGTTTTAAAACAAGAGAGAGTGGCTAAACATATCCTTTTATCAAGAACCCGCCCTGCAATAACTAACCCACTCCCTTGAAACCAGCATTAATACATTCATGAGGACAGAGCCCTCATGACCTATTCACCTTTTAAAAGATCCCACTTCTCAACACTGTTTTATATGGGGATTAAGTTCCAACATGTGAACTTTAGGGGACACATTCAAACCACAGCACAAACCTTTGGTTTCCTTTAATAACCTATTCTATCTTTTAACAACTCTCATCATATTTTAAGTTTGTTTATTTAATTTTATTTATTTATTTTTAGATGGAGTCTGTCTCTGTTGCCTAGGCTAGAGTGCAGTGGCGTGATCTCAGCTCACTGCAACCTCCACCTCCTGGGTTCAAAGGATTCTCCTGCCTCATCCTCCCGAGTAGCTAGGACTACAGGCACATACCACCGTGGCTGGCTAATTTTTATATTTTTAGTAGAGACAAGGTTTCACCATATGGGCCAGGCTGGTCTCAAACTCCTGACCTCAGGTGATCCGCCGGCCTCGGCCTCCCAAAGTGCTGGGATTACAGGCATAAGCCACTATGCCCAGCCTGTTTATTTTAAACCCCAAGTTTAAAATGGCAGATGAAGTGTAATGTGATATCAGTGTTTGGTTTCTTCCCTATGTGCATATATTGTCTTCCCCTAAAACTCTTCCCTCCTCATTTTTCCTATAACAAAGTTGTTGCATTAATAACCTACATTTTAAAATAAATGTTCTAGATCTTTACTTGTTTTCGTGCTTATTTGGCAATTCTGTTCCATTGTATACTATCATGTGACATTCTTTACTTTTCTTTTTTTTTTTTGAGACAGAGTTTTGCTCTTGTTGCCCAGGCTGGAGTGCAATGGTGTAATCTTGGCACACTGCAACCTCCACCTCGTGGATTCAAGTGATTCTCCTGCCTCAGCCTCCCGAATAGCTGCCCAGCTAATTTTTTTGTATATTTAGTAGGGATGGGGTTTCTCCATGTTGGTCAGGCTGGTCTCGAACTCCTTACCTCAGGTGATCCTCCCACCTCGGCCTCCCAAAGTGCTGGGATTACAGGTGCAAGCCTTTTTGAGATGGAGTCTTGCTCTGTCACCAGGCTGGAGTGCAGTGGCGTGATCTCGGCTCACTGTAACCTCCATCTTCTGGGTTCAACTCATTCCCCTGCCTTAGCCTCCTCAGTAACTGGGACTACAGGCATGTACCACCATGCCTGGTTAATTTTTTTTTGTATTTTAGTAGAGACAGGGTTTCATCATGCTGGCCAGGATGGTCTTGATCTCCTAACCTCGTGATCTGCCTGCCTTGACCTCTCAAAGTGCTGGGATTATAGGCTTGAGCCACCACGACCTGCCTCATATGATGTTCTTTTGATTGCTTATAACTTCTTTTCTGCTTAGCTTTAAGAATTCACTTCTTGCCTGATATTCTGGTTAGCTGTTGCTGTATAACAAACTATTATAAAGCTTAGTGCTTTAAAATCACCATTTGTGGCTGGGTGCAGTGACTCACATCTGTAATCCCAGCACTTAGGGAGGCTGAGGCACGTAGATCACTTGAGGTTAGGAGTTCAAGACCTGTCCTACAACGTGAAACTCCGTCTCTACTAAAAATTCACAAATTATAGGTGCCTATAGTCCCAGCTACTCAGAAGGCTGAGGTAGGATAATTGTTTGAACCTGGGAGGCAGAGGTTGCAGTGAGCCCAGATAGCACCACTGCACTCCAGCCTGGGCGACAGAATGCGACTCCATCTAAAAAAAAAAAAAAAAATCATTCTTGCTTGGCTCACAATTTTTAGGTCAGGAGTTTCGGATGGTCTTGTCTGGGTGGTTCATCTTGGATCCACATGCTGTCAGCTTGGAGTGGCTGGACCAGAGAATCCATTTCCACAGTGGCCTCTTTGCTCACAATGTCTTCACGAT